CACGTGTAGGTGAACTTCGGCTCAGTTTGGAGGACATCGAAAAAACAATCAAGCCCAGCACTAGACAATTTTACCACCATCATCTTCTATCTGAAATTGCTACAGCAATTCTCAGGTCACCCCCACCGACCTCAAAGCCAAACCTTTACCAAGGGATGGAAGGCAAGAAAGCTAATCTGATCCTGAGGTCAGAAGGCACGAGGATGAGCAGCAGCCGGCGCGGCAGGCACGCGGGTGTGCAGTGCCGGGAGGGGTTGGGGTGGTGCGAGGTGACTCGCGGGGCTCCGAGGACAACTCAAGCAGCCGGTTCGGGACGCCCTGGAGGCGTGGCGACCGGAGGGCGAGCGCGACGGGCGCCACCGTTCCGGCGGGTCCGCCGCAAGCAGCGGCGCCCCGACGGGCTGGGCCGGGGTCCGCCACCGGCTCCTTACCCGTAGTAGCGGAAAGCATTAATGATCTTCCAGAAGTGCTCGCGCTCGAGCCTCTCCTCCTCCTCCTCGGTGCTGCGCGCGGCCGCCACGACCGCCGAAACCGCCGCGGCCGAGCCCAAACGCCCGGCAGAGAACTGCACTTCCACCTCCTCGCTCCCACTGCGGCCGCCGCCGCCTCCCCCGCAACCTTCCGGCAGCTGAGAGACCGGCGGCGGAGGGCGCCGCCGTCGCTGCATCGCAGCCGCGGCCCTGGGCCTGGCTCGCTTGCGTCTCGCCGCGATTGAAAGCGTGGTGGCGGCTGCTTGGCCTTCCTCTAGACGGCGCCCGCCGCGGACATGCACCCAGCTCGCGGCGCGCTCCGCCCCCGCCACCCTCAAGCCCCCATCCGCGCCGCGCTCCGCCAGGTCTTCGGGGCTCCCGGAAACAGCGCGCATGCGTGTGCGAGTGTACGACAGAGGGCCCTGGCCGCCAGCGCTCATTTGCTGCCGGGCTTCGGCGACGGCGCGCTGACGTCAGGACGGCGCTTCCTGGGGCGGGGCCAGGGACCCCGTGTGGGGGCGAAGGAGGAGCTCCTTGGCAGGGTGGAGCTGGCACAGTTGGCACCTGTGAGTGGCCGCGTGGGTGGGGCTTAGCTTACGAGTGCTGGATTGTGGAACACGAGGCTGAACCTAGGCTAAGGCACTAGCAATGGAGGGAAAAACAGAAAGAAAAAGTTCAGCTTTCATGAATTCGGAATTTTTATTTCAGAAAGTGTAGAGGGAAAGTCTTGCATTCACCCAACTTAAGTTTCAATTCACTTCCTAAATAAGTTTTTAATTACTTAAAGGGGGCACTATCATCTTTCCAGTTTTTAGGGGCTTGCAAAAGTCCTAATGCCACTCTCACTGGTGATGGCAGCAGATGGAAAATGCAGGAACCTAACTCTATCCAGTATGTGTGCTTGGGAAGTCCGTAACACCTACCAGCGTCTAAGGGTGGCCCTTTGCAACGCCTGACCTGACCTAACCTATTCCTCTTTTTCGCCTGTATTCATTCACATTTTGCCTCGTTTCTGTGCTTAGAGCTAAAATGGCTGCCCTACCTGCATGTAATGTTATTTTCAGGAAATAACTCATTCCGTGCAATTTAATCCACCACCCAGCAAATCAGTCTTACAAAATAATTATAAAAAGGAAGGATTGTTTATATTCGGAAGAGTTAAATATGCCTAGGGAACCACAGAGTCTGTTTAAAAAGATATAATCATTGAAAATGAAGTGGCTTCCTATTTTCATAATTCAAATTAATAACTGAAATAAAGCCAGTACTAAAAAATACTGATTATTTTAGGAAGTGATGCACAGCCCTGGCCAGGTGGCCACCCTGCCCCCACATTTGACGCTGTCGCTGCCCACAAGTGGTTGTGGCCACTGTGCCCGGAGGGAGGCAGCAGAGGCCAGCAATGCCAGGGAAACTCCTCTGGGGGAACACTGTGGAGCTGGAAGGACCTTTAGAGGAATCTGAGGGCCAGAAGAAAGAGAGGCAAAAGAGCTTTGTGGATATCGTAATTTCAGATGAGGAGTTATGGATCTGTCTTCCCTTATGGGGTTGTTATGAAGATTTAAACAAGATGAGCTGAAAACACATTACACAATGCTTGAGTGATAGAAGGAAGTCAAGGCACCATTATGACTTAGATGAGAAATCATAAACAAGAGAAAATGGTGTTGCTGATGACCTGGACGTTCCCAAGCCCAAAATAGCTAAAATGAAAGAGAAGCTAAGTGGAGACACTGAAGAAGGATTTACTGGATTTTCAGATGAGTTCTCTAAATCTCATAAGTCAAGAAGAAATATCCAATATCAAATGATATTGATGAATATGAAAAAAATCAAAGCGAGGATCATCCTTAGATAGTTCTATTCATGAATCAAGTGATAATAAACTTGAGGAGACCCTAACACATGAACAGAAAGAAGCCTTCTGCAATTTCCCTATTTCCAAAGAGACTATAAAGCTTCTGAAAGGTCGAGGGGTAATATATCTCTTTCCAATTCAAGTTAAGACCTTTGATCTTGTATATGAAGGAAAAAGTTTAATAGTTGCTCAAGCATGAACAAGAACAGAAAAGACATTCTCTTTTGCCATCCTCTTTATTGAAAGACCCTAAAGAAATCAAGAAACAATTACTAAAAAGCCACTCACCAAAGGTACTTGTTTTGGCTCCGACAAGGGAACTGGCAAACCAAGTGAACAAAGACCTCAAAGATATACTAGGAAACAGTATATCTGTTGGTGTTATTTTTATGATGGAGCAACATGTCAAAGCCAAATTAATCATATTCAAAATGGTATTGATATCTTGGTTGGGATCATTGGTCATATCAAAGACCACCTGTAGAGTGGTCGATTGGATGTTTTAAAAGTATGCCATGTTGTGCTTGATGAAGTGGATCAAATGTTAGATTTAGGTTTTGCTGAACAAGTTGAAGAT